ATTATTATTATTATTATTATTATTAAATACATGAAAAAAATTACTCGATTATGATTGGCTGAAGGGCAATAGAAATTTTCTAAGCCAATGATATCACGTAAAATGATGACGAAAATTTTTGTGTGAAAACTTTGGAAAGTTTTCTCGAATGAGAAAAAATAGCCTTTTTTTTTCGTCAGAAGAAATCCACAGATAGTCACCTTCTAAGATTTTTTGAAATGGGCACATGTATTGAACTGAAATTTTATTTCTTTTTGACCTACATGTATGACATTCAGCTTTTAGAACGTCTTCTAGGTGACATGCCAGTAGAAGCTAATAGAAAGAGACCAGTTTTGAGGCATCCCCGTTTACTTTATTGTAACCATCTCAGCGCTGCGCGCCTTCAAAATACGTTTTGCCTGTGGAATTTAAAAACTCTTTATTTATTTAGGCCCAGAACTTTTAGCTTGCGGTGCAGACGTTTTGCGGACGTGAGCGTTGTCGTATCTTAATCCCCGGCGTACCTGGTAGCCATCTTTGAGTCGCAATTTGTAGATGAATGGAACGAGAAGAGACCGCTTTCCAGGGGCTACTTTCTGTTAGTCACCCAAAGCCTCACCAAGACACCAATTGCAAGATGCTGCTTGCTTACCCCAGTGTTTAAAATACGCCGCCACTACTAACGAGCTACAATATTGCAGCTGAATGCTTTCTCATTCATAATACATTTTGCTAAATTCTTTCCTTGGCAAATACAAAAAAAAGAAACCCTATGTTTCAATGAAAATAATTAATAAAAATTTACTGCATGTTGCCTACCTAATATTCTGTAGCCTAGTTCTAGGTAGGTTGTGGAGTTCATATGGAACAAGAGATGAGAGTCTCTTCCGAGGGACGATAGAGGGAAGGCAGTAAAAAACATTTTTTTCTTTCACTCCAGGTCTGCCGTCTACTAACAGGGCGCTTTTATCCACTCAACCTAATCCTCCTCATTTACGGAATACAGGATAACGCGCTCTCCCTTTCTCCGTCTCTCTGGCATTCAAACGCTTTCACTGGGCATTATTTGTATATATTCTTCTAAGGAAACATGAATCAGAGGCCCAAAAAGCGAGAAACATGGAAGATCATTAATTTATTGATTGATTGTTCTCTATCTTTTATTCTGTAGCCTATTTTTATGACGGGTCTCAAATTCAAGTGGCGCAACGCAAAAAAAAGTGCCGACGAAGGCAGCTCCTTGTTTGTTGGAACCAGCCCAGCATTTGATTTTGCCATCTTCAGTACCTGCGCTATGTCGCTATTTATAGAAGAAAACATAGAAGTATGCACTTGTGGAATTCACGGGAGCTTGTTAGAAATTACAGCCAAACAAATTTTTACGAAAGCCAAAGGCAAACAAGTTCCAACTTCCAAGATCAACACAGCCTACCCATTGTCTGTTGTTGGTAAGTTCGGGATTGTACACGCTAGGAATTTTAATAACCTAATGTGTACTTGTATTATTAAGCTGACCAAACACGCTAATAGACTCCCTATCAAATCTTCTTCTAACTAGGAGCTTGACTGCACTTTGTGCAATGTCGAGGATCATTACAATTTCACATGGGAGTGATTTGTCTGAACACGTCCCAAGGTCAAAACTGGGAATAGTAAGCCAGTAGAGAGCAGTAAACCGGTGTCCGCATTTTGAGTGTCTTCTATACCACAAAACCTCTCTGACTCTATCTGCAATTTATCTGGGAACAGACAGAAAATGTTTACAAAATTCGATGTTGCCATGGTAACTTACTTTTACGAGCTGTGTTTATCCTGAATTTTTGTAGGTTTCTGACGATATATTGAATTTTGTTGCAGCAACGTCTTCATTCTAGGCCATCGCAATTTTCACTACGTCATATCCATTCAATTTATGGCATATGGTTGAAGTTTTTTGAAAGACTGTTTCCTTTAATATAGCTCTTGTCTGCACAAGTGTTCCACCCAACAGCCGAACGGACTGTGGATGGCTTGGGATAGACCGCCCCACCTGTGGAAAACGAGGCTGCTGCTTTGACAGTCAACAGTATGGTAGCCAGACATATTGGTGCTATTATCCTTCAGGTAGGCTAACTATATCGCTATAGTCACCTATACTTCTTAATGCAACTTCTTCTTAGAATCGCACCTTTTTGCTACCACCACTTTGTTTAATAGCAGGGCCGCAAAGCGGAGCCCCATACCCATAGACACCCGTGATCAGCACAAACAATTACCTAGATATATAGGAATAAAATACCGTGATGTTTGTCTCCAAGAAAGAAAACTATTGTTATTTTACCTGCATACACTACAATATGTAGTGCCCTTATTGTTGATTGCACCAAGCTGGGGCTTCTCCCTATAGTTGACTTAAGACCCACTTTTTTCAGGCTGCACGTATTATAAGACTTAACAGAACAGGGATCTGAAAGTGAAGAATGATCATCGCAGTTAATTTTCCAATTTAAGCAATTAAGTAACAGTTTGTCACTTCAAATTATTTATGTTTGACATAGCTTAAAGTAAATAAGATTTTGGCAATATCCATGTCTCACTTAAGTGAAATTGGGCAAAATACTCTTGGCAGTCTTGGCATTCTCAAGCTGATTGTCTAAAATAAATGTCAAAATCGTGTATTATAATTTTTGCATAATTTTTATACAGCTGTTTCATAATGTTAACTGAGCAAGGACCATAACTTACTTAGTAAAATACCTTGACCCAAAATGCACTGCCGACTCACTAATCTAATACATATATTATAACATGTATTGCAACTTCAGTGACTAGGTGTCAACTTTAGACTGACTGGTGAATTTGGTGAACTCTCATTTGATGATTTCATTTTGAAATAGACTGTTATTATTCTTTGACACTGCAACATGTACAAGTTGATATAATAACAATGTTCCAGCTCCAATCAAAATTAATTATCATCCATTTTAAAAGTTATAAGCAGTCTGTGTAAACAACCTGTTATTTGATTTTTGTATTTCTTTTCTATTTTGAGCAGTCTGGGTTCGAGCCCTGGCTGGGAACATTGTATTGTGTTCTTGGGCGTGACACTTTACTCTCACAATGCCTCTCTCCACTCAGGTGTATAAATAGGTATTGGCAAATTTAATGTTGGGGGTAACCTTGCGATGAACTAGCATCTCATCCAGGGGGTAATAGAAATACTCCCAGTCACTTCATGCTACAGAAACCGGAATACACGCCAGCCTGATGGGCCAATTGGCTCATACGCAGACTTCACTTCCACTTCTGAGTTGCCGCTTGCCTCTTTTTCAGAACGAGTGCTCGTGCAAAACGTTTCACATGAAAATGACTTGATTTTCACGAGAATGAACGTACAGGTGACACACATTTTCATACAAATAGTTTCGCACAGACTCGTTCTGCCACAGAGGCAAAAGTCAACTTGGAATTGGCCTATTCATCCATGAGCTGTCTCGGGGAGCCTTTGATTTTACTTAAAATTGTACAGAAAGAGAAACACAGGATTACGCGCCATTACAGCGCCGAGCTACAAAAAGCCAAACAATCTCTCACAACTTCAAAAAACTCAATTGAATTTACTTACAGTGACCTTCACCTGCCATTTAAAGGTAAATAGAGATAAACTTGCGTTGACTAATCATCTTTGGAAGTGTAAAACGGGCGAAATATTGAGATTACCACTAATTCTTTCACGAAAATAGATCAAAACGACGAATTCCGCCCGCTGTGGAGGTCTGGATGAGAAAATTCCGCCCGATCCAGGAACCAATCAGATTTCAGGATTTGTTGAATTGGGCCAGCTCACGAGCTGAGAAAAAGATAGTCAGTGATATTGCGCTAAAAGAAAACACCCCATAAGGAAGCTCATGCTATACGCCGTACTTCTAGCTACAAGTCGAAAGAAACACAGAACTACGATAGCATGAGCTGGGGACGCAATGGTAGCGTGAGCAAGGATAATTTATCATCGGTCGATATGTTTTTCTTCCTTTTTCATTGGCCTCGAGCCAACCACGTGACAGCAAATCATTGCCTAGATATAAACCGTCCAATAGACCAATTCCGATGCATTAAAATTCAGCCTAAAACAACAGACCTCAATACGAGCTCTGAGGAATAACTACAGAGTTTGTATGGTTTATTCCCCAGGGCCCCGTGCTGAGGTCTATTGTTTTAGGCTGAATTTTAAAATATCGAAATTGGTCTATTGTATTTTGCAGCAAATAAAATTCTGCTCATGCATAATTGTATCTACGCTATTGTGTGGAAAATGGCAGATTGCTACCCTGGCCTGTAAGAGAGTAATTTAAACAACAAAACAAACGTTGTAACTGAATGAAAAACAATTACTGAACTCGATTAATTATTGCAAATATTTTGCTCAATCTCGTCAAATAATCATTTGCTGTTTGATTACAGAAATAAAGGAGTAAATTTCTTTTCCTCTGCTCACAGTGTTTTCTGAAAAAATAAAAATAATTTTCCCATCCTTTGTTGCCATTGCGTTATTGAAACACTCGTGGAAGTTTTAGAGAACTCCAAAAATCTGCAAAAACACTCGTCAGCCAATCGTGTTTCAAAGTTCCTCAAAACTTACACTGCTGTTTTCCTGAGTGGATAGTAAAAGAGAAAATATTTTTGGGGGGTAGTAGGAGTGGTTGAAAAACTTAAAATATATATATATATATATATATATATATATATATATATATATATATATATCACATACTCCCATGTAATCAGCCAAGATTGTACTTGTACCCAGTGATGTACCGTCCTCAACTGTATTTTGTTCCTTAACAGACCACAAATGTCACGGAATCCTTCCTCAAAATAGGAAAGATTGTGGTTTCCTGGGAATAAGCAGGAGTGAGTGCGAAGGAAAAGGCTGTTGTTTTGACGAAAACTTTGGTCACGGTGTCCCTCATTGCTTTCAAGGAGTTCCAAGTAAGAATATTTCAAATTAGTTCAATTTCCCAGTCCAAATGTCGCAACTGAGGTAAGTATTAGTAGACGAAATTGTAAGCAAACTGACCATGGATACCGCATTGCTTGCAGAATATGATACATCTCTTTAAAAAGTGCACGGCTTTGTCCATGTGTTGTGCTAAAACAACGTTGTACTTGTTGTCTACTTCACAGAGGATAAAATATGAGCGAAAGTGCCAGGACCATTCTAAAGTGAAAGAGAATATCAGTGCCACTTAATATAGATTGATACTGAATATATATATAAAAAATAACAATAATGAAATGAACATTGTAGCTGAGAAATAAAAACAAAGATGTAGTATCCATAGAATTTATGACATCTCGTGACTACACTTTTTCAATTTTTAAGTATCGTGGAGTGTTGAGTTGAACTAATAGTTCATTCCTGAGGAGGAATTTGAGGGGCAACGAAAGATGGAGGAAGTCAAGAGAGGTTGTTTTCCGCCTCTTTCTAAAGAGCCAGCTTCAGTACCGTAACATAACAACATGACCATGATCATACTTTCGACAAGAGACAATCATTATTGCGACGATGATCAGAATAGTTGGCCTTCGACAATGCATACTCCGCTTCACGCTATATTTCCTTCATTTAACGTCCTTTTCTTCATTACCCGACGTGTCCTCCTAATCCCTTGTTTCCTCAACCCCACCAAAAAGATTACAGAGCTGTCATTTTGGCATATTGGCCTGATTGATTTACAGATACAACCGATGGTTACATCTTGTCTATTTATCCTCGAAGTATTGGAGACTTATTACGCACCTAACTTAAAAAAAAAAAAAAGAAAAACTACTGAGTTGAGTTTAAAAAAAAAAATTAAATTAATGAAAGGAAATAACATATCTCCTTGTATGACGATCGAAGATACATTCGGTGGAGCGCGAGCGTTCTCTTCGCTGCGTCAGCCTCGCATGCCGGCGGGCATGATTAACTATGATGTGATGCCAAAAACAGTAAATTGCATTGAATGGGAGATAATAACACTGGCTAGTCCGAAATATAAATGTTAAGTCTATATGAATTTGCTCTCTGGGAGCGAGAGTTTGTGTCCAATGTCCAATTTGTAATATTGCGACCGCAGCGCCACCAGAATGGCACGGAAACATGAGAACTAAATAGAAAGAGTTGGTATCCGTTGCAGAGCGAGTAAAATACCGTCGTGAAGGAATGTTTGTTTGCCGTGCTTTGCAGTGATGGCGAATATATGTCACTAAACACTTGGGTGAAATTGAATTTTTTTGATTGTGTTTCTACAATTATTTTGCTCTCTCTGATAACTATTGTCAGAATTATTATTATTGTAATGATATAAATCATGGCTTAATGGTAGGTGCAGAGATCTCAACTTTTCATCATCATGGAAATGTACATAAAATTTGCTCAAGCGAAATATTCCTCGAGTGTATTAAACTTGTCAATTAATTGATAATGGCAATCAAGCCGTGGTAAGCCTCTGCATGACTTTGTGCCTTTAAAAGAAATATCTTCTGCTGTCATAATTAATGGGAGTTTAACTGGAGGTGTGGAAGGGTGCCTAAGGGGTGCAAAATGAAGCAGGAACTTGTAAATTTGACAGCATAATCGAACATATGAAAAAATATAACAAATTACGTTGACAGACTACTCAGATCTTGAGTACATATGGAATTTAATAATATATATATATATATATATATATATATATATATATATATATATAGATGTGTAAACGACGTTGGTTTGCCAACGATGATGCCTTGGAGAAAAGGATCCAGTGGATACAGAACGCTTCTTCTTTAAATCATTATAGGTTGAATAAACAGAAGAAGATGCGAACTTTTCTCGTAGGAGGTCTTTAATTTAAGTGGACGTT